GTTTGGGGTTTAGGGTTCGGGGTTTGGGGTTTCGGGTTTGGGGTTTGGGGTTTAGGGTTTGGGGTTTAGGGTTTAGGGTTTAGGGTTTGGGGTTTGGAGTTTAGGGTTTTAGGGTTTGGGGTTCAGGGTTTAGGGTTCATTGTTGCTGGTATCGTTAGAATGACCATAATTTGTTTTGAGGGAGGGGTGCTGTTTTGAACTGGTTGAGATTCTTCCTGCAGCTTTTACTGCCCCTGTCTTCTGCGTCGTTACTGCCCCTGGTTTTCGCGCAGTTATTGCGCGCTCTCAGGGTTTGCGTTTCTTTCATGCACTGACCCATGTTTTGAGTGATGCTTCTGGCCGCTGCAGCTTGTGAGCTTTCGGCTTGAGTTAAGCGTAGTGTAAACCAATGATAAACTAACCCCCCTCCCTCAGCACGTTAAAGTCAAATCAGCATGCTAGTGGCGACTGCAAGGCCCTTGAAGAAAGCATGTCATCAACCGGAGGCTTGCCTTACGGCTGCTACCGCTCTTATGGATCCTCAGCAACCCATTTGAAAACTGCTACAAGACATGTAGCATCTTAAAATCTGTCTCTCTCTCTCTCTATAACCAACCCTAAGCCCTCAACCCCAAACCCTAAGCATTAACCCCCCAAATCCTAAACCCTACCTACCCTAAACCGACCGAGGTGGTGGCGTAAGCAGATCGGCTTTGTGGGCCAGGAGCCGATTCTGTTCAACACGTCGATCCTGGAGAACGCGTCTTGCTTCAAGAAGGGTTCTCAAGCGTTCTTATACCTTGTATAGGGTTTTCAAGGCAGGAATCTTGGAACAGGGTTTTCAGAGGCTTTTCACGACACCCTTCAAAACTACCTCTTCTTGCAGGGTTTTGAACCAACGCTCTTCGGCGTGTGGCCCGAAGTTTGCGTGTTTGTCTCTCCGGCTTTGTCCTCGGGTCAGGTTCTAAGGGCCTGACGACTGGGGCAGTTTTTGAGAGGGTCTCACCATTTAGGGCTTCTATATAAAGGCCCCTAGAGCTGAAACCAGGGCTCCAGCAATGTAGGAGGGAGGCCCCTATATTACTCTAGGGGGCCTTCGGGTGTCTATGACAGTATTGGTATTCTAGGAACGGTGCAGTTTGCTATGGGGCCTGGCCATGATCTCCACAAAAACGACCCCGCTCCCCCCCATGTCCCGGAGCTGACATCCGGAAGCTCCGGGCGTTTGTAATCAAGGATCTAGGACATTTTCAGGTGGCTAGTTACCGTTATAGGAGCCTTATAGCAGGTCTATAGAAGCCTTATAGAAGCCCTATATACCCTAAACTACCCACCTGTAGTTTCCTTTAAAAGGAAAGGGGAGACTCCGACAAGGAATAACATGACCAATTTCTTCAGGCCAGTTGGCTAGTTCTGTTCCTGAGCACACAACCCTACTTCTTGAAGCAACAACACGCGGAAGTGCCTTCTTTTTTCCGAGACCCTGAACCCCCGAAGCCCGCAACCCTTCAACCCGATACCTTAACTTGCTGTGTTCCTGCTACTGGGCGCTTGTTTCGAAATTTAGTTTCAATTATCATCATCGCAGAAACAAAAATGTCTGCAGGAATTACTCCCCGAACCACTGTAAACCCTTACCCCGTTCGACTAACTAAGCTTTCGGGGCTTGAGAGCTTGGGTTGAGTGTCTAGGATTCAGGATTTCAGGATTTCAGTTGGAGAGTTCGCGAGCCAAAGAACGACGAAGCAAGCATCGTAGCAGGTGATGTATGGCCTGGAGGACGGCGAGAAAGTTTCTGACGAGCATCTGCAGCAATGCAAGAAGATGGCCAACCTCAACTTCATTGACAGCAACAAGGCGCCTTGTGATTAAACTCCAGGCACGAGCCCGCTGAGCCCAAACCCGTAAATCCCTTATCTAGAATCTAGAGGTCTAGAGGTCGAAATGATTTGTGTCCCTTATAGTAGCAATACTTATGTTTCTGAGCTTATCACCGAAAACTGATTGCGCGCCAGGGGGTGGTTCAGGACTTTTCATTCTGAAGCTCTGGAGCTCCGAAGCTCGAGGCTTCAAGAGCTTCAGGGCGTCAGTGCAGCTCAGAAGTTTGAGGCGTCGGGAGCTTCAGTGCGTCAGCGAAGCTCAGCTCGGGCCAGGAGGAGCTTCAAAGCGTCGGCAAAGCTCCGAAGCACAAGGCGTCAATAGTTTCAGGGCGTCAGTGAAGCTCCGAAGCTCGAGGCGTCAATAGTTTCAGGGCGTCAGTGAAGCTCCGAAGCTCGAGGCGTCAGAAGCTTCAGGGCGTCAGCGAAGTTTCGAAGCTCGAGGTGTCAGGGGCTTCAGAGCGTCAGCGAAGTTTCGAAGCTCGAGGTGTCAGGGGCTTCAGAGCGTCAGTGAAGCTCTGAAACTCGAGGCGTCAGGAGCTTCAAAGCGAAGCTTGGGGCGTGAAGAGCTTCAGAGCGTCAGTAAAGCTCCGAAGCACAAGGCGTCAATAGTTTCAGAGCGTCAGTGAAGCTCCGAAGTTCGAAAGGGCGTCAGGAGCTTCAGAGCTTCACTTGTTCTGCGAACCAACAGGTGCGGTCCCCCGAGAAACGTCCAAACTGCAAGGCCCGGATCGCAAAACCCCGATGCCAACCCCCAGCCACCCGAAACCTAAACTCGTGGGCCCAAGTCTTGGTAGGGTTGAAGGATGTTGACGGTTTAGGTTTATTGTAAGGTTTAGCGTTTAGGGTAAAGTTTAGGTTTCTAAGTTCAGGGTTTCGGGTTTAGGGGTCGGTCAGAGGATGCAGACATGGCAAATGGGACATGGGGGTGTAGAAGTTCCGATCATTAGGGCTTGGCTTTTCCGGGTTCCCGCCGCAGATTCAGATGCTGCTTGGGCGTTAGAGGCATCTGGGCTTTCGGTGTCGAGGATGTAGGTGTCAGGATGTATAGGTAAGGCCTTTATCAACGCGAGGGGTCGGAGCTTGCTCAAAGATGAACTCTGAAACACCGCAAGACGGCAACCCGGAACCCCCCAGCGTCCAAGTGTCCCGGCAAGCCACGGTCGGAGGGGAGCCGATATCCCCACCCAAAGAGCTCTGCACCTTATATAAGTTTCCAACCTTGAACGAAAGACTCCACCGTCAATTGAGTTGAGGACCCGGCTGTCTCTGAAAAACAAAAACCCCAAGCCAAAAGCACAAAACCTCAAACACAGTGCCCCCAACCATCAAACTCCAAATTACCAAAACGCTCCAAACCCTAAACCCTAAACCCTAAAAAAACCCTAGAACCTCCAGGAATCCTCCTTCTCTTCCCTGAAATCTCTGCGAGGCCCAAGGCTGGGAAACGCAGGTTGGGCCGCGCGGCAGCCGGCTCTCAGGCCCCCTGCGCCGTCTTTTTGCTGTTTAACTGTCTTATTTTTTCATAGCTGTGGGGTTTAGTCTACTTTTATGTTGTTTTGCTGGATTTTTTGTAGGGTTTAGGGGTCGGTATTTTGTTTAGCTTCATTTTTGTTGGTAAGGTTTGGGGTTGGAGGTCTGGGGTTCGGAGTTTCGGGTCCAGCTGTCGGTTCTAAACACCCCAAGACCCCTAAACCCTAAACCCTAAACCCCTAAACCCGAAACTCTAAACCCCCTAAAGCCCCGAAGCTCGCTGAGCTCCCTAAACTCTTTAACGCCCCTCTCAACTCCCTAAGCTCCCAAAATTCCTACAAACCCGAAGCCCTACCTGGACCCTGAAGAACCTGCCTTTTTAGGGTTCCTTAATATGAATTCCTATTATAAGTCCTTAAAAAGGCAGGTTATTTGGGGTTCAGGTAAGCCCTACGCCCTACAGCCCAAGCCTTAAACCCTAATTTTTGTTAGCTCCCTGAAACCCTAAACCCTAAACCCTAAACCCTAAACCCTAAACCCTAAACCCTAAACCCTAAACCCTAAACCCTAAACCCTAAACCCGGAGGCGGGCAGAAGCAGCGCGTGGCCATCTGCCGGGCCCTGGTGCGGAACCCGCCGGTGCTGCGACTTGTCGGCGACTGCGACACCATTGTAGGAACAGGTGGGTTTTCAATAGGGATGAATCGGGATAACTGTGTGTATATATATGTATATATATGTATAGAGGTGCTTTTTGGTAGGGTTCTCGTCTAAGGCGTATTGAAGGGAGTTTCCGGGGTTTTGTTCGGTTTATAGGGCAGGCTCAGTGGTGTTTAAGCATAGTCTTTCATCGTAGGGTCCTACACTTGTTGTGGTGGAGGTTTGCTTATTTGTTTACTTGGTGGAGACTTTTCATGATTTCCAAAGGCTGGCTTACCATGTAAGCCTACTTGACGAGTCTCCGAGATAAACAGGACCCTGGGAACGAAACCCTAAACCCTAAACCCTAAACATCGTATAGCTCAATCCCGACCCTCCAGCAAAGAAAGGCAACAGCTGCAAACACAGATAAAAGCGCAGTGTAAAGCAACAAGCAGTAAAGAACCCGATGAAACCCCCTTCAGAACCCTATAGACTAGAACCCTAAACCCTAAGATAGACTTCTTTTGAATGCTATAGAACCCATAGGACACCTTCAATATTTTGACACAAGCCCCTTCAGCACCCGTAAGGAGCCCCTGAAGAGCCCCTGAACTCCATACCGTAAGCTTAAACCGCAAACACTAAAACCCGAACCCTGCGCCCCACACCCTAAAACCCGTATGGCACCCCTTATGAGAGCCTTTTTTCGGAACCCTGATAGACCGAGAGAGCCCAAGACCCCTTAATTACAGAATATGGCTTAAACCATGATATGAAGTCCCTTAGAACTCAAAAGCTTATCTCTAAATCGTCGAGTAAGGGTTATTGGGCTCTCTGGGGACCTGTACCAGGCTGCTGGATGAGGCCCACACCTCAGCCAAGTCGCCGCGCATCCGTTTCATTGCGTTCGTCGAAGGGGTTAGCGCTTTGCAAGGATTTTATAGAGGTTCACAGGGTTTTGCAGGGTCTTTTCAGGGTTTATGTGGGAGTTTTGAGGGTTATATATGGATGTCAGACGGTCCCAGTTGAAGAAGCCAGTCAGGCCTCTACGCCAGTGTTGTGGCCTTTAGGTTTGAGGCAGGGTCATGTTTGGAGTTGTTTAGAGTTCAGGGTTTAGGGTTTAGAGTCGCTGATTTAGGCTTGGGGTTTCAAGGTCTGGGAGTCAGGGTTAGGGCATGGGGCCTTGCTCAAGATGTATGGACTGGGATGTGACGTCTGTGCAGACCTGAGAGCCAGGGTTTCAAACACGTGCAAAGTTGAAACTAAACCCTAGACTACACCCTGAAGCCTATCAGGATCCCTAAACCCTAAAACCTAAA